TGAAACCCAAGTTCTCAAACTGCAGATAAGAGGCTCATATTTAAGGCATGAAACTAATGGAAGGTAATACTCTTTTCCTGGGGATGAAGACAGATGTCTGTTTACTTGGATTATGTATACAGCAGTCTTTTTCTTACCACTCCACCAGCTGCCATGTGAATCAGGACACTTTTCCTTGCACCCAGATTAGAACAGTGAAAAAGCATTAAATACGCAGTGAGGTATGTGATAGGAATTGCAGCTGCATCCTCAAAACTCATGCTCTCTGGAATAACAAAGCATGTGCTGGCCGGAACACAGGTATACTCTGACCAGGCACCATCTGTAGTCAAGCAAGTTACACGTGAACCAACCTGCAGGGATCAAGGGCAACAAACAACTACTCGAAATGAATTACGTGGCTGATGCAACTGCAGATCAGTCTTCAACTAGGTGAAAGACATAAGAAAGTGACTGGAAATAACATTTAATATATAGACATGACATTTTTTTATTACCGGAAATACACCAACTGTAAAACTCATACATTGTGCAAAACTAGATCCGGGACTTGAGTATATATATCTTCAATGAAGTTGTTTCTTACTTTTTCACGGTTGTTTGTGCAAACAGTCAGTCTGTTACTCCCTCGCTGCGCTTGTTTGCTATTAACATTGTTTTTACTCACTCAAAAATAAAATTCATATCTTTGTGACACCATGTAATATCCTCTATTTATATTTTCTTCTATGAAAATCTTTCCCCTACAACCTAGAATATGCACAGGACCAAAACACAATAGGTACCTGGGCAAAGAAATCTCTGGGGAGTGGGAGAGAGGCAATTTCTGAGTATTTTGTCTGTATGGCAAAATCCCAACCAAGAAAGAACCAATCAGAATGCTTGAATTTACCTTGCCATATAATAAAATAATAATTGTATTACAAATAAAACAGAAAAAGCAGACATCCTGAATTAAACTTAAAACTAAAACAATTCACCATGATATGTTGTGTAATGGAGAACTTACCTCTAATCCTGTGACACCTTCACCAAGCTCCTCTACAGTTCCAGAACATTCCAAACCAGGAATGAATGGAGGTTTTCGTGGACTGGGATAAAGTCCTTGGCGTTGTGCTATGTCCGCAAAATTGAGGCCACTAAGTGATTTAAAAAAAAATAGTGGTTTATTTTCCAAGACAGCATATATTCAAAACTTATCCAATATATTTTTCATTAACTTTTATTTTTTTTTGCATTTACCAACAAAGCATCAAGGAAAGGCAATTTCCAGTAAATTACCCAGCAATTACTCACTTGTTTCTTAACAACATTTTAAAAGGTTATATACAAAATGTAACTTTTTAAGGTTGCTCAAAACAGTTTCCAACACTTTTCAAGACTGCTATGGTAACCTACTGTGTCATGAAAATGATAAAAATGTGTTCACCAATGAGTTTAGTGAAGTTAAGGATACACTTGGGAGTTTCTAGAGCACTCAAGCAGCTGGTACAATTTAATAAAACTTTTACATTACAAATCAGACCATTGCATTTCCTAGTGCACACGAAAATGAGTTCAACAAAAATCGTTACAAGTCCTGCAGGTTACAAGTGTCCGACTTGTAATTACAGGTATAGCGCTTCACATGTAAAAGATGGTAAGAATCAAATTTAAATAAAACTTTTACAAGAGTTCGCCTTTTATTTTTACCAGAGTCCAACTTGTAAATCACAAGTGCAAAATACAACTTCAACTTATGCCCTAGAATATGTAAAGGACCAAAACACAACAGGTACCAAAGAAATCTCAGGGGAGTAGGAAAGAGGCATTTTCCTGGGATTTCCAAAGGGCTACTTGCCTCACCTACCCTGCAGGGAAGTTCATGTATGCGCCCTGAGCTACCAGTACACGAAGTTCACAGAGTTAACAATGGAAAGTTTATTCACAGATCTGTGTTACGATCTTTTTGTATGTCATTATATTGTGTCCAGCTAACAAAAATATTAACATCTGAAGGCCACGTTTCCGATCCGGAACTTGCATTTCGCTAACTTGGAGTACCTTTCCCAATACTCTAACCCCAATAGTCCTCCCATGGACTTCGCACTGAAAAGGTTTCTCCACACGAGATAATTCTAAACTGAGAGTCAATATTAAGCCATATTGAACCTGAATTTAATTTAAATATCCATTTAATTTTTTTTCTCAGACATACATGCATTACTGAGACAACATTTATCTTGCAACAATGATATTATTAGCTGGAGTGGCGAAATTTAGTCACGGGTCGTGGCACGCCAAATACAAGTCACTCGAAATGGGCTGGAAATCATTTTAAAAAGCTACAGATTTCAAAATTCTACTTCTTAGCTCTAACATCACTGAAGGATAAAACTGAAATATGGCACGTGCCCCTGACCACGTATTACTAATAAGCTTACACATACAGCGTACAGAAGCTTACAGATTACCGCCCCTCCCACCGTTTTGCAAGTTGAACAATTCAAATGCGCATAATTTCTTGCTTCGTTGAATAGAAAAACATGCATTACAGTGGATAATTTAATTACAGATCTTTCCCTGTAGCAATAATCAGCAAAAACATCTGAGAACAGCTTTCGCCAGTGACAAACGTCGTACTCACCAAGCATGCACTCGAACTACAACTTGTCCATTCATCGGTTTAGGTTTCGCGTATTTTTGCACTTGTAACTTGTGGATGCCTCCATATCCAGTTAGTACTACACTGCGCATTGTCTCCTGCTCCGGTTGGAGTTCAAGACGTTCTTCCTTACCCTCGTCATTCTCTGCCATTTCCACTTGAGCCTCCACTTCGTTTTTCTGCTCTGCACCTTCCGCCATGATTGCACGTTTTTTTCCAGGGCTCCCTGAATAATACGTGTATATCGGGGAGGGGCGGGGAAAAATGTAACGTCGTTTTTCGTTCAGTCGCGTGACTCGGGCGTGACTGACTTGGTATCGACTTGGTTCTGAAAACTGCAGAAGATCAAAACGCATTTTTTTCTTAAGATATTTTCGGGCGATTTGTTTCCGAAATGCTTACATTACTCTTCGAAAAGATAAAGAAAATATTCGAACAGGGATTGCGGTACCAGTTTGCGTTTTCTCAGTCATTTCTGAGGGCTCATTTTGAAAAAGCACGTATAGGTCAAAGGAGTTTATGCGATTTTTGGGGGGAAACCGATGGGATTCTCTTTTCATAAATTTCAGCAATATGAATGCACAGTCTATAAACTTAATAAATTGAGGGGGTACATGTGGATAATTCCCTGAGTTCATTTGTCCGAAGAAGTAACCGTTGCAGCCGTTCCTCGTGGTTTTCTCCCCACCCCCCTGGGGGGAGGGGGACCTCCCATATAAGGACGTTGGGTGCTCGTGGGAAATTTTGAAAAGAATCCCTAAGAGGTACCAAGATCCTGTTTTGTGGGCGTGGCTTGAAGTTGTTTTTCCCCCTAACAGGTGCCAATTCTAAAGCAACACGTTATCTCCTGTCATATTTTTTCGGTTGAATACTTAAAGGTGCCACAAAGGCTCCCGCTGTGGACCTTTTGAGGCTGAACACCCTAAGAGGCACCAAAACTGCTCTTTCAACCCCTTTGAGGTACTACGAGCACTCCCGTCCTTTTCATATGGGAGTCCCCCCGCGGGGTTTTCTCCTCTGTCAGCCCGGCCTGTCAGTTGACTAAGGGTGCGTTTCCTTCAGAATCCACTCCCAGAGTGGATTCTTCGGTTCCTTTGACGCACCACGATCCGAGAGATCTTGGATTGATCTGTTTAGAAAAGAAACGCAAAATCCGTTTTCGGATTCTTCCGGATCAAAGAATCCAATCTTGGATTTTCTAAAAGAAACGCACCCCGAGGTCTACACATGTAGAGTTGATCTTGATGGATAATGACCGAGGGTAAAGCTACACACTAAGTCCTGGCCATTTAATTATAGACTTCACTGAAGTTATAATCAGAGTCAAACAACAAACAATTAAATATAATAACTCTTTTATTTCCCCCATTCTCTCTGCTATTCTAGCTCTACGACTCTAAAACAAGAGTTCAATCAAACGCTTCTGTCTCTACGGAGACGCTAGCTTTGAAACTTGACGGAGAAGACTTCTTACTCTGACAAAAACAGTCCTCACTCCCTCCCCTGAACACAAGCCCACCCACCCTTCGATAATGTCAATGTTAGTTCCAACCTTAGAGAACGCTAAAACAGCGAGAGCCTGGAGAGAAGCCGTTTCTTACTTATTTTAACTGTTTTACATGCAAAATAGTGGAAAACTCCTACTTCATACGCCATATCTTTCAACTGTATAGAACTTACAGTTTTCTACAGTGCAACACACTGAAAACGCTCTACAGCTAGCACTTTGACTAAAGCGTATTTCTTAAGTTGGAAAACCAACACGTTATTTTAAAAAATAAATTGATTAGCCTTTAATAAGCTTGTATACTACTATCTAATGGCTTCTTAATTTGCTATGCACTTTATTGTTAAAAAAATAACCTGCTTTGTGAAAATCATTAAGTGAAAAAAGTCAAGTACGTATTAACTGACAATGGCCAAAGCCGAAAGGAAGGAAATCAAGGAGATGGGGAAGACCTGGGAAGGCATCAAGTTTATGGCAAGGGACCGACAGATGTGGAGGAAACATATTGCTGCCCTACATGCCACTTAGGCGTAAAGGGCATGAGTGAGTGAGTGACGTATTAACTGAGTCGAAAGAGATAAACTTTGCTAGAGGACCTAACTCATTAGTTGAGAGAATTAGTGGGGTCCCTGGAAAGACCCTCGGACAATGCTCTACAAAGGCAAACCAGCACGACCAAACAGTAAAAGTCTTCAATTTCAGAGATGGAAATCTGTTGTTGTATTAGCCCTTTCTTGACTTCATTCAATAAATGATTTATCACAATATCCCTTTCGGGAACCTAATTTGCTCTGGATAATCCAAATGTGAAACAATCTGGAAAAGCCATTACTCCCCACTCATATTTCCAAGGGGCCATATAGGTCCTATAAAGAACGATGCTGTACCTATTATTATTATATCTCCAAGTTAGCGCGCGCGCTATGATTGGTCAATTTTTGCGGGCCGTATTCTACTGTACGGCCCGCTAAAATTTAAAGCTGTTTTTGCCGCCAAAATGTTTTGTGATTTATCGTCAAGTGTTCTTAACATTTTTAGCAAGCAAAAGTTTAATACTTTCCTTTACTTCTGAAACAGTTCACTAAACATCGATTTCAAATTGACCCGTTTTGCTTTCGAGATGCGTCAGAAACCAGGTGAATATTAGAAATCGATCCTGAGCCCGTCAGACACACAGTCTGTACTGTAAGTTACAGTTTCTCGTTTATCCCCTTCAATTTATGGCCCGTGCGCTTCTCGCTTGGGCCATAAATGATGGGGAAAATACTCGGTCCGTAACTTACAGTACGGCCCTCGAACTCTGTTAGTACGAGGTATTAAAAATACATGAACATTATCATGAGGCGGTGCATGGATTAATAATGGAGTTTTTTTAAAAATAGAAATAAATCAAACTGTTTAAACTTCCCAACTCAAATACGTTTTCCCTAGGGCGAACAAAACTCACCAACTCTCTAGGAAAACAATAACTTGATGAACTTTCGACTTGCACGTGATCAGGTCGTACACCTTGACACCACAGCAAATTTGTGTGCCAGTCAGCCTCAGGCTTGTAATTTTTTCGCAGTTTGTTTTCTTTTTGAGTTAGGAAGTATAACAAAACACTGCATGACTGGTTCAAAGGAAAACAGTAAGTTTTGTTTCCCCTTGCCCCTCAGTGTTCCCCTCGGCTTCGCCTTGGGGAACATTGAAGGTCTCGAGGAAACAAAATGTACTGTTTTCCTTTGAACCAGTCATGTGCCTAATAATAATTTGTACAAGATTGAAAAAATATTTACAAATATACATTTTTTATAGACTTAAGTTTGTGCATCTTATTTGATAGTCGCTGTGGGAAATTGTCAAGATTTTCTCCAAGGCCTCAGTCACAAATGTACTAAATATTTGGATAAAAATGGTACTAAAATCCCCATTTATTTCTGTTTTATTTTCATAAATAACTGGAAAGGTATTTCACCCAAGGCCATGGATTGATATTGTTGTTAAATAATTCGTGGTCTTAAATGTCAAAAGCAGAATTTTGTGAAACGCAAAATATCCAAGGTGGGTATTATCTTTTCACATTGTTTTAATTAGGTCATCTACTTGCTTAGCAATTCCATGAACTGCATGTCTAGAATTTATAATTTTCCTATGAATCTGTTGAAGATACCAATTGTAAAAACAACAATGAAAAAGAGAGGACGAGGATGCACACAAAAAGACAAAAATGAAACCTTTTGGAATAAAAATTAACAAAGTACAGACCAGAAAGATGACAAACAACAGTGGGGCTTTGGTATGATCAACACAACAGTTACAAAATAACAAGACACAGAGTCAGCCGTCCTCCTCATGATCGGGTGAAGCTGATGCAGTTGACAGTTCACGTGATAACCAACTGGGCCAGTGTTCTATAGAGATGCCGTGATTTCTCACTCGTTCAAAAAGTTGCTGCAAAACAGCCGAATGGGTCATTAAAAAATAAGTTTAACCCCAGCAACATCCAACCACAAGAGTTCAATGAAAGAATCTTAGACAATGTTATTACATTATAAGTCCTTTCGTAGCGAATTGTAACTTTCTTAGTTGTGTTCATTAAATCTTAAACCAGCGTAGCTTTAAACTATGTTTGATTGTCCACCTGGCTGCACTGTGAACCTTAACATAACTTCCTTTAGTGAAGGTTTCAACTTGAGCGCAGAGTCTAATGAGCTCCAGAGTTTATTAACAGTTCTATTGACATAATTCAAGATATAAGGGAACAATGGCTGGCAAATTCTCATAGACCCAACAACACTTTTAGCAGCTGACTAGCCAACCTCAGTATTGTACAACTTCAGCTTACCTGGGGTTTCAGGTGATTAATGTGGCCCACTCTATAGCCACACACAGCCATGTTGAGTTTAACACCAACGACAAGAGAGAAGAAATATTTCTAGAAAATATTAAAAGAATTAACAGCATGTGACATTGTCCAAAATCTTGTACACATTGATTTTCAAAGAGTTACATCATTCTGCTGAAAATATTTTCTAGCTGTAATTGTTTTTGCTTATACCCTGAGGAAATTCCAAAAGCTGAGAAGGTATTACATTCATAAATCATTTGCAATAAGAGAACCTCAAGGTGGCCGAACACAGTTTTCGCACACGCTCTTGCTAATGCAATTCAGCGTGCACACAAAGATTACAAAAAACAAACATGTCCATACAGTGATCATTTTATTTGGTCAATGCCTGAGCTACTTTTCTTCATAAATGAACACAGGGAGTTTATGGTTTTAGTCTCTTATTAGAAATGTATGTTAGAAAAGGTAACGATGCAAAGAACCCAGCTATTCTCAGATTTTTTTTTGTTACCGAAAGAACCCGGTTAAATGTAGCACATGTGTAGTAAGTCAAAAAATGGTGATTGGATGTGACATAGCTTTCTTAGATATGCACTTATTTCTCAAGAACCACTCATTATAATTTCACAAAATTTGGCAGGAAAATACTTTAGGAAAAAGGAACTGGAATGTTGAAAAAAGATTGAAATTTAACAGGGGAAGTTCTAGATATTTCAGTTGACCTTCCACAAAGGGATATTTAAAGATCTCTCAGTTAAACTCTTATTAAAATATTGTTAACTTGTGAGCATTGTTACAAACTTGTTGCATGCAAATGATAAAGAAAATCTAATGACTAGATTTTTCTGCAAATAAACAACACCGATTTTAAAGGCCTGTTTATAGTTATTCATGTTTCCATGACAACCCCATATAAGTAAAAAAAACCAGAAGTTTGTGTTGTTAACTTGCGTGTTGCCAATTTTGGTGACAAAGGGATCAAGGGATTTAGAGAAAAAATGAACGAAACACAGGTATCAAAAACTGTGTTCAGCTTACTGCGCTGTTCAATAACATGCGGACTCTAAAATTCAAAGATCAACCGACAAGAGCGTTTTTCACTACCGTCAATCAAGTGTTTGGCGGCTCCTCCCAGCTTCCGACTACTGCTGAACGCGCGGTAATCAAATCGTTGAGCACAGTTCAGACAACGAAACAGTGCTCAGTAGTAGTCGGAAGCTGGGTTGAGCCGCTGGACATTTGATTGATGGTAGCAAAAAATGCATTTGTCTGTTGAGCTTTAAATTTTAGAGTCTACATGTTATTGAAAGGTGCAGTAATAAGGTCTAAGAATGTCAGTCTAGTTCTCTCACTCTCAGGAGGGCCATCTGGTACAAAATGCCATTACATGCTCAACATGTGGTCACTTTGTGTCAAATTTGGACAGCAAAAAGTTCTTGCACAGATCTGTCTTTTGAAAGCATGATGGAAAACGTAAAATTATAAATATCATAAAGCTAATTTTTAGTTTTCTCTTTTGAATTTAATGCTGCATCCCGAATTCAGTTTTGGGATTGTTTTGACAAAGAAAAACAAACTCAATGACTTTAAAGTATCACAAGATTCAAAGTAAAATATAAATTCACATTTTAATCTATGTTCTTCTCAACACCACTGTCAGGGTTACTTTTAATGCCATACTACTTCACCTGGAAAATTATTGCGAGATATATTTATCGCAAATGAGTTTGCTGACTTTCAGTTGCAAATGCAGGAGCCATACATGTCTAAAACAGGGCTCTCATTTCTTACCTCCTCAGTTGAAACAGCATACTGTTGAATTTCATTAAACTTTACATGAAGCTGTGATATGTAATCATCTTGAGCCTTAAGCAGAACAAAAAAGAAATCTTACAGAAAAAGCCTTACCACAAAAAAATCTTAATTGTAAGATAGTTTGCAATGACCCAGAACTGAAACAACTATTATTCGTCCTATACCACTGTCACGATCTGTCATGGCCTAGCTTGAATGGGAACAAGTAACTTCTGTTAAGTTTGAGGTGACCTAAGGAGGTGCTAGTGCTTGAGTGCTTGTCTCAATAGAAGTATAGTTTCATGGCAAAACATTTCCAGGGAATATCAGGGGGTTTATTACCATTTTCAGTAGGAGGGCAACTGGTTTTCACAGGCAGGTAAAACTATTTCAACTCAACTTCTTTATGAGAAAAAAGTTTCCGTTAGATGGCCAAATCAGGCAGCCAAAGTTGTTTCCACAGCCAGTCAATTTGACCTAGTGCCAGCCACTTAATGAAACCCCTGGAATACTATAGAATTATTATATTGTAACATTTATTTAATACACAACTAAGCTAGCTCAGAGGGCCAATAATTTAATTCAACCAATCAGATTGCTCCATTGTCAGTGAAATCTTTTCTAAGTACTGTATTGCAGATGCATGAAAACAAAGTACTAAGCATTCAAAATTCATACTACAGAGGCTTTCAGTTAACATTGGCCTAGCTCAAAAGAATATTGTATATTTATATTTACCTTAATGCCATCTTGATATCTTTTCTGAAGATCAGACATTTGTGTTTTTAATGACTCTGCCTCCTGAGTTCTCGTCTATGACAAACAATGCATTGAGCAAAATGTTTTGTTAATACTAATTATTATGAAATTAAATAATTTCGTGGGTTTTTTTTTACTTTCATCAGCTGGATAAACAACAAACATTTTCAGTTTATAGTACTGTTGTGATGATGAGCTAACATCCAGTCAGCCAAAATAGTTTATTTTATTGAAGCTTCCTGAAAAGTGCCTTTTCCAACCAGTTTCAACCACATTTTGCAATCTCAACAAATACTAATCCAAAAAAAACATAATAAAATTATTACAAAAAATTACTACTTGAAAATACCATTTCTTATTTTACCTTGGCTAAGAAGTCTGCTCTAGTAAACTCAGCCTTGAGATCTTCAACTTCCTGCTTATACATCTGTGGACAGACAATTATAATTTAGGAAGAAATGTGACTTTAGAGATTGCCTCTGGACTAATGCCAACACACAATAACGTTTCAAGTAACAGTGTGCACAGAAAGTCTGGTCCAATAGACCAGGGCTAGTGGATTTCCAGTCAGGCTAGTGGAATCTGTCGACCACTTGCCCAATGGACAAGTAAAGTGTCTTGGGAAGGATTTTTTTTAAACAAAATTCAAATTTCAGAAGAACTGTTAGAGATGAACATTTTGGGAGCTAGTGACAATGATTTTTGGGCTAGTACATTACAGTTGTAAATAGACGTCTCATTGATTGTACTGTAAGTTTTTGGTATAATTTGGGACAATTTTTAAATCTATAAGTACCTTGAAAGTTTTAACGTCTTTTTAAAACTATGAATAAAGACCTTTATTTATTATTTATTGTAGTTAAAGAAGGGGCAAGCCCAAAAATTTGTTCTCTTTGCACCCTGAAGTAACTGTATACATATAAAAATCTTAAGGTTGGCACTTGTACAGTATGGAGGGTTTGGCTTGTACTCTATGAGGGGTGTGGTTTGGACTCTATAAAGGGTGTTAGGCTTACAAATAACCTGACTTTTCTGATGTTTTCACCTGTGCACCAAATTACGTCACCAATTCACAGTCACAACCTTGATTTAATGACCTTTTGTCACATCTGACAAAAAGTACTCTAGAAATCACAGAACATTACTGCAAGCTCTCTTTTACCATGTTCCTAATTGGCATATCACTGACCTCCACAAGGTTTGTCTAATTTGCCTATTCCAAGATATCATCAAAAAGGGAGTTACTTTCAACTAACTCATTTGTGAAGGGTTGTGAAAGAAAATCTTTGTATTTTAGGAATACTCGTATGTATTTTGAACAAGCTTGTACAGCCGAGCTCTTAGACGTGATGTCACTAAATAAAGTATTGTATTGCATTGCATTGCATTGCATTGCATTGTATTGTGTTGTATTGAATGAAGATTGGTTTGATGTTCAAATAGAAAACACTTTTCATGTAACCTATCCCATTATAGGAACATGACTGAAAGTTTTAGGGAATGGTAACACAAGCTGTAGAAGAGTGTTTTCATAACATTTTTCAAGTTCTCTCTCTCTTATTGTTTCTCTAACTCTATAGAAACTAGGAGAGAATGGTTTCTGCATGAAAAGGAAAGGAAAATCATTTGCTTACTTTGATGATTAAGATGTAAATTCTCTTTGCTTCCGCCACCATTACCTCAATGTGTAATGCTAATATTTATTTACAGAAGTACAGCTTTCAGCATATTCTTTCTTACAAGATGTTACTTAAAGTGTGTCTCTAACACTCAGGCTGGTATTGGTAACTTTATCACTGCAAAGATGTGCTAATAAAAGCTATTGTCTTACTTCCAGCGTATTTCTGTGGATTTTTTCAAGTTGACTTCTGGTTTCATCAAGAGCCTATAAAGAAACAATCAAACTTCTTCAATTCTTTACTACCTAACACAGTTTCATTTTTGTTACATTTATTACTCAAGAATGTCAAGCTAAAAATAATAAAATACTAATATGATTGTTACATATGACATTTTACTGTCACGCCAGTAAAATATAGTTACTGGAGTGCGATGTACGTTCTCAATGAGCCGTTCATGGCAGCATCGCTTTCTATAGAGTTATTGAGAAGTTATATTCCAAAGGTCAGCAAACTGTAAGCTTTATTGTAGCTAAACCTAAAACATTGTAGCTTTGTTACCTTCAGAACGTTTTAATGAACCATAGCATTGGTGCAAAGCATTAAAGCACTATTCATGTTTAAGATGTTACATGTAGTACAGCCTTTTCTACTGGCTTACCAGCAGACGAACGTCTCCATATAAAAGCTCAGACAACTGTTCAGAGTCCACTTTTAGTCCATCTAAGCAATGTAGCTATTACTTATTGTAAATCTATTGTTTAATTTTCCCTCCCTCCCTCCCTCCCTCCCTTTGGAGACAAGGTTGGTCATGAATTCCTGCATAATAAACAAAGGGTCACTACTGTGTAGTGCAGTTAAGTCTGCGCAACGACTTCCCCCAAGCTTGTTGTTTTTTCATCACCTTTGAACATTGCTTGCAAACCGATACTCTTGTCCGATCCAGCACGTGCTGTGTGTCATTGGGGAGATAAGTGAGGTTGTTTGTCACGCTATCGCTGGAAGTCGCATCATGGGCTAACCAAACGCAAGGCAGTGTTCCCCCATTAACGCCATCGCGAGTTGTTTGTATTTGATTAATAGCTCTGGTTCAATTGCAAGTCACCACAGTTAACTTACTTTTGCTAGGAACAACGACATTAAATAACAATAACAATAATACAATATATTTATATAGTGCAAATTCCATAAAGTAAGTAAAAAGGGTAAAAATTACACTAATAAGGTAAATTCACACAGTAAAAATGGAAAACAGGAAACAATAAATAATTAAAATACTACATCACATTACTGAAGATGGTATAAAATAACTTATTGTACCTTTCTCAGCTGAACTGCTTTGTTTGATATGCCATCCTTAGAGTTCATCTCTGTTAGGAAAGAAGCAGGCAAAAAAATAGAATTACAGCTAAACCTTTACCAATGGCTTCCTCTCTTTGCTCAGCGATTTTAATGTTAACCACACATAAGCCAATGTTCTATCTACAACAAAAAATCGGAGCTCTCATAACAATAACTTGGCTTGCTTGTGGTGAGTTTTTGGTGATTGACTGTGGTGGCTTTTGACCACAACACTTGACCCAAAGTGTCCAACAACAGCCAGGGTTTTTTCATTCTGGCTGAACAGCTTGTATTTCTTCCTTGGCGTGTGCTTGATGTTTGATGTGTCGTATGTGATGTTGCAACACGAATTACATGCGCAATAAGGATGCACAGTAACAATGGGCAAGAACATCCGAAGTTTAAAAGCAAATCAATTTTCAATTTTTCTCAATCCATTTTTATTTATTAGTAATTTCTATCTCATCATTCATAGTAAGAACAACTGCCACAAGTTCACCATGGTCAAGAGGTCAGCCATTCGATTCACCTGCTAACCACTGATGACCTACTATATAATTCAGCTGTGGAAACAGTGCACAGTAAATTAAAAGATTCATTTGTTGACTCACCATGTTTTACACCATCAATCACTACTTCAACTTTAGAATGCTGTCCCATAGTTGTGATGAGAGAATCAACTCTTTGGTTCACTGCTTCCTGGGACTGATTAAACATGTCCACTTGCCTGTTGATTCCGACTTCCCTCTTTTGTTTCTCAATTACCCTCGCAGCCTGTACAGATGCCCTTTCGGCTCTTATTTCTTCTTTCAACTTTTCCAACTCTTCGTTAGCTTGTTTCCCATCCTCCAATGCAACTGTAAGGTGATCTCTCAGACTCTGAGAAGTAAAAAGAAAGTCTCAGAGCATTGCGTTAAATTTTCATCATGTACTTCCAGAAGATATCCATACCCCCACCATGGAGAGAATTTCATGTGAGATCCCCCCCGCCCTCCCTAGAATTTCCATTTTCTGGACTCAAAAGTAACCCCTCTGGAATTTACAAGAGTATTATGTACAGCCCCGCACCCTCTGGAAATACTCATTTCGGCAAGAAAGTGTCTTAAAGAACTAATTAAAAGTAAACACTCCAAACACTAGGCTCTCTGCATTGCAGATCACTCCTGTTTATTATTGATTGATTGTAACACCTGAAGATACGCAACAAGAAAACATACGGCAATAGGGAGGTAATAATTTTACTATAACAATATAAAGAGAGAGGGCTGACCTTAGTGACCTCTTCAACATCAGTCTGTTGTTTCTGAAGGTGGTGGGCTAGGTGCTGATTCTCATCTCTATAGTACTTGAGTCGGGCCAATTCTATCTTGACAGCGTTGAATTCAGCAGTCTGGTCACGAAACTGCTGACGCAAATCTGCCAGGGACCGTTCAAGGGACTGACAATAACTCTGCAGAAGTATTTATAACAATGGTAAGTGCATGCATTTAGGAGAAAAAAATCACATACAGTGATGTATCTCTACAGTACCAGGGGTGTAGAAAGGTTCATTGTTGAAAATCTTAATGGTGACACTCATTGGGTCTTTGAGTCTTACAAGAAAAAGTGAAGAGGAATACACTACATGTACTTGCACTTGAACCTGACTCTGTTAGGAACTCATATTTTTCTTGATCCCTGATTTTCAAATGAAGGTCTTCAAGAGGTTTTCTCGAAGAAAATTAATTCTATTACCATCTAGAGTCACTGGAAATCCCCTCAGTTAAATTTTTGACAAAGATCGCTAGTACAATGTTGGTAAACGAACAATTACATGTAGACGTCGCTACTGTATATCAAACTCAGCAACTTGAACTCCCCATTATCTTGGCCTCAAATCATAAATTTTTCTTTTAGATGTGCACTTTTTACTTATTACTATCTGCTATCTAGAGCCTCCACTATCTTGAACTATTTTTACTTTCCCTTGAGAGTGAGATACATGAAGAGGCGGGTGAATAGGTTTGCGGATCGACGGATTTGGCTTTAAAAAGTGCTCGGTTTATAGACTTTTGTGATAAATTGAACAGATTGGTGGATTTCGAAAATAGGGTGGATCACGGATCAGCTGTGAATTTTGGCCTGGACTCTGGACTCTACCTGTTTTGAACGTTGGAATGTGGATCCTCAGATAGGAAGTTCGGATCGTAGATCTTTGGTCAGCTAGGGTTGTGATGTTAGTGTTTTAAACCCTTGATTTCTTTTTCCGGACGAGACTTGATTATATAGATTCGGGTTTGGCATTGTTATTGGAATTGTGTGATCCTTATCTTACAGCCAATTTTCGCGAACTTGACAATGCTGTCCGCATCTACCAGTTTACTGATGAACTTTCATACAAAACTAAATGGCAAATCTGTTAAGATAAGGAATCGAGTTTATGTCCAATGATTTCCAAAATATGCAGAGGACCTCTGAACCTGTCCAAGACTATCCTGGATTATCCACGGGTGTCTCAACTTAACTTCTGAAAAAATCCTGAAGCAGTTTTTATGGAAGAGAAACTTGTGTCTAGGTTCACNGTACTGTATTGCAGATGCATGAAAACAAAGTACTAAGCATTCAAAATTCATACTACAGAGGCTTTCAGTTAACATTGGCCTAGCTCAAAAGAATATTGTATATTTATATTTACCTTAATGCCATCTTGATATCTTTTCTGAAGATCAGACATTTGTGTTTTTAATGACTCTGCCTCCTGAGTTCTCGTCTATGACAAACAATGCATTGAGCAAAATGTTTTGTTAATACTAATTATTATGAAATTAAATAATTTCGTGGGTTTTTTTTTACTTTCATCAGCTGGATAAACAACAAACATTTTCAGTTTATAGTACTGTTGTGATGATGAGCTAACATCCAGTCAGCCAAAATAGTTTATTTTATTGAAGCTTCCTGAAAAGTGCCTTTTCCAACCAGTTTCAACCACATTTTGCAATCTCAACAAATACTAATCCAAAAAAAACATAATAAAATTATTACAAAAAATTACTACTTGAAAATACCATTTCTTATTTTACCTTGGCTAAGAAGTCTGCTCTAGTAAACTCAGCCTTGAGATCTTCAACTTCCTGCTTATACATCTGTGGACAGACAATTATAATTTAGGAAGAAATGTGACTTTAGAGATTGCCTCTGGACTAATGCCAACACACAATAATGTTTCAAGTAACAGTGTGCACAGAAAGTCTGGTCCAATAGACCAGGGCTAGTGGATTTCCAGTCAGGCTAGTGGAATCTGTCGACCACTTGCCCAATGGACAAGTAAAGTGTCTTGGGAAGGATTTTTTTTAAACAAAATTCAAATTTCAGAAGAACTGTTAGAGATGAACATTTTGGGAGCTAGTGACAATGATTTTTGGGCTAGTACATTACAGTTGTAAATAGACGTCTCATTGATTGTACTGTAAGTTTTTGGTATAATTTGGGACAATTTTTAAATCTATAAGTACCTTGAAAGTTTTAACGTCTTTTTAAAACTATGAATAAAGACCTTTATTTATTATTTATTGTAGTTAAAGAAGGGGCAAGCCCAAAAATTTGTTCTCTTTGCACCCTGAAGTAACTGTATACATATAAAAATCTTAAGGTTGGCACTTGTACAGTATGGAGGGTTTGGCTTGTACTCTATGAGGGGTGTGGTTTGGACTCTATAAAGGGTGTTAGGCTTACAAATAACCTGACTTTTCTGATGTTTTCACCTGTGCACCAAATTACGTCACCAATTCACAGTCACAACCTTGATTTAATGACCTTTTGTCACATCTGACAAAAAGTACTCTAGAAATCACAGAACATTACTGCAAGCTCTCTTTTACCATGTTCCTAATTGGCATATCACTGACCTCCACAAGGTTTGTCTAATTTGCCTATTCCAAGATATCATCAAAAAGGGAGTTACTTTCAACTAACTCATTTGTGAAGGGTTGTGAAAGAAAATCTTTGTATTTTAGGAATACTCGTATGTATTTTGAACAAGCTTGTACAGCCGAGCTCTTAGACGTGATGTCACTAAATAAAGTATTGTATTGCATTGCATTGCATTGCATTGCATTGTATTGTGTTGTATTGAATGAAGATTGGTTTGATGTTCAAATAGAAAACACTTTTCATGTAACCTATCCCATTATAGGAACATGACTGAAAGTTTTAGGGAATGGTAACACAAGCTGTAGAAGAGTGTTTTCATAACATTTTTCAAGTTCTCTCTCTCTTATTGTTTCTCTAACTCTATAGAAACTAGGAGAGAATGGTTTCTGCATGAAAAGGAAAGGAAAATCATTTGCTTACTTTGATGATTAAGATGTAAATTCTCTTTGCTTCCGCCACCATTACCTCAATGTGTAATGCTAATATTTATTTACAGAAGTACAGCTTTCAGCATATTCTTTCTTACAAGATGTTACTTAAAGTGTGTCTCTAACACTCAGGCTGGTATTGGTAACTTTATCACTGCAAAGATGTGCTAATAAAAGCTATTGTCTTACTTCCAGCGTATTTCTGTGGATTTTTTCAAGTTGACTTCTGGTTTCATCAAGAGCCTATAAAGAAACAATCAAACTTCTTCAATTCTTTACTACCTAACACAGTTTCATTTTTGTTACATTTATTACTCAAGAATGTCAAGCTAAAAATAATAAAATACTAATATGATTGTTACATATGACATTTTACTGTCACGCCAGTAAAATATAGTTACTGGAGTGCGATGTACGTTCTCAATGAGCCGTTCATGGCAGCATCGCTTTCTATAGAGTTATTGAGAAGTTATATTCCAAAGGTCAGCAAACTGTAAGCTTTATTGTAGCTAAACCTAAAACATTGTAGCTTTGTTACCTTCAGAACGTTTTAATGAACCATAGCATTGGTGCAAAGCATTAAAGCACTATTCATGTTTAAGATGTTACATGTAGTACAGCCTTTTCTACTGGCTTACCAGCAGACGAACGTCTCCATATAAAAGCTCAGACAACTGTTCAGAGTCCACTTTTAGTCCATCTAAGCAATGTAGCTATTACTTATTGTAAATCTATTGTTTAATTTTCCCTCCCTCCCTCCCTCCCTCCCTTTGGAGACAAGGTTGGTCATGAATTCCTGCATAATAAACAAAGGGTCACTACTGTGTAGTGCAGTTAAGTCTGCGCAACGACTTCCCCCAAGCTTGTTGTTTTTTCATCACCTTTGAACATTGCTTGCAAACCGATACTCTTGTCCGATCCAGCACGTGCTGTGTGTCATTGGGGAGATAAGTGAGGTTGTTTGTCACGCTATCGCTGGAAGTCGCATCATGGGCTAACCAAACGCAAGGCAGTGTTCCCCCATTAACGCCATCGCGAGTTGTTTGTATTTGATTAATAGCTCTGGTTCAATTGCAAGTCACCACAGTTAACTTACTTTTGCTAGGAACAACGACATTAAATAACAATAACAATAATACAATATATTTATATAGTGCAAATTCCATAAAGTAAGTAAAAAGGGTAAAAATTACACTAATAAGGTAAATTCACACAGTAAAAATGGAAAACAGGAAACAATAAATAATTAAAATACTACATCACATTACTGAAGATGGTATAAAATAACTTATTGTACCTTTCTCAGCTGAACTGCTTTGTTTGATATGCCATCCTTAGAGTTCATCTCTGTTAGGAAAGAAGCAGGCAAAAAAATAGAATTACAGCTAAACCTTTACCAATGGCTTCCTCTCTTTGCTCAGCGATTTTAATGTTAACCACACATAAGCCAATGTTCTATCTACAACAAAAAATCGGAGCTCTCATAACAATAACTTGGCTTGCTTGTGGTGAGTTTTTGGTGATTGACTGTGGTGGCTTTTGACCACAACACTTGACCCAAAGTGTCCAACAACAGCCAGGGTTTTTTCATTCTGGCTGAACAGCTTGTATTTCTTCCTTGGCGTGTGCTTGATGTTTGATGTGTCGTATGTGATGTTGCAACACGAATTACATGCGCAATAAGGATGCACAGTAACAATGGGCAAGAACATCCGAAGTTTAAAAGCAAATCAATTTTCAATTTTTCTCAATCCATTTTTATTTATTAGTAATTTCTATCTCATCATTCATAGTAAGAACAACTGCCACAAGTTCACCATGGTCAAGAGGTCAGCCATTCGATTCACCTGCTAACCACTGATGACCTACTATATAATTCAGCTGTGGAAACAGTGCACAGTAAATTAAAAGATTCATTTGTTGACTCACCATGTTTTACACCATCAATCACTACTTCAACTTTAGAATGCTGTCCCATAGTTGTGATGAGAGAATCAACTCTTTGGTTCACTGCTTCCTGGGACTGATTAAACATGTCCACTTGCCTGTTGATTCCGACTTCCCTCTTTTGTTTCTCAATTACCCTCGCAGCCTGTACAGATGCCCTTTCGGCTCTTATTTCTTCTTTCAACTTTTCCAACTCTTCGTTAGCTTGTTTCCCATCCTCCAATGCAACTGTAAGGTGATCTCTCAGACTCTGAGAAGTAAAAAGAAAGTCTCAGAGCATTGCGTTAAATTTTCATCATGTACTTCCAGAAGATATCCATACCCCCACCATGGAGAGAATTTCATGTGAGATCCCCCCCGCCCTCCCTAGAATTTCCATTTTCTGGACTCAAAAGTAACCCCTCTGGAATTTACAAGAGTATTATGTACAGCCCCGCACCCTCTGGAAATACTCATTTCGGCAAGAAAGTGTCTTAAAGAACTAATTAAAAGTAAACACTCCAAACACTAGGCTCTCTGCATTGCAGATCACTCCTGTTTATTATTGATTGATTGTAACACCTGAAGATACGCAACAAGAAAACATACGGCAATAGGGAGGTAATAATTTTACTATAACAATATAAAGAGAGAGGGCTGACCTTAGTGACCTCTTCAACATCAGTCTGTTGTTTCTGAAGGTGGTGGGCTAGGTGCTGATTCTCATCTCTATAGTACTTGAGTCGGGCCAATTCTATCTTGACAGCGTTGAATTCAGCAGTCTGGTCACGAAACTGCTGACGCAAATCTGCCAGGGACCGTTCAAGGGACTGACAATAACTCTGCAGAAGTATTTATAACAATGGTAAGTGCATGCATTTAGGAGAAAAAAATCACATACAGTGATGTATCTCTACAGTACCAGGGGTGTAGAAAGGTTCATTGTTGAAAATCTTAATGGTGACACTCATTGGGTCTTTGAGTCTTACAAGAAAAAGTGAAGAGGAATACACTACATGTACTTGCACTTGAACCTGACTCTGTTAGGAACTCATATTTTTCTTGATCCCTGATTTTCAAATGAAGGTCTTCAAGAGGTTTTCTCGAAGAAAATTAATTCTATTACCATCTAGAGTCACTGGAAATCCCCTCAGTTAAATTTTTGACAAAGATCGCTAGTACAATGTTGGTAAACGAACAATTACATGTAGACGTCGCTACTGTATATCAAACTCAGCAACTTGAACTCCCCATTATCTTGGCCTCAAATCATAAATTTTTCTTTTAGATGTGCACTTTTTACTTATTACTATCTGCTATCTAGAGCCTCCACTATCTTGAACTATTTTTACTTTCCCTTGAGAGTGAGATACATGAAGAGGCGGGTGAATAGGTTTGCGGATCGACGGATTTGGCTTTAAAAAGTGCTCGGTTTATAGACTTTTGTGATAAATTGAACAGATTGGTGGATTTCGAAAATAGGGTGGATCACGGATCAGCTGTGAATTTTGGCCTGGACTCTGGACTCTACCTGTTTTGAACGTTGGAATGTGGATCCTCAGATAGGAAGTTCGGATCGTAGATCTTTGGTCAGCTAGGGTTGTGATGTTAGTGTTTTAAACACTTGATTTCTTTTTCCGGACAAGACTTGATTATATAGATTCGGGTTTGGCATTGTTATTGGAATTGTGTGATCCTTATCTTACAGCCAATTTTCGCGAACTTGACAATGCTGTCCGCATCTACCAGTTTACTGATGAACTTTCATACAAAACTAAATGGCAAATCTGTTAAGATAAGGAATCGAGTTTATGTCCAATGATTTCCAAAATATGCAGAGGACCTCTGAACCTGTCCAAGACTATCCTGGATTATCCACGGGTGTCTCAACTTAACTTCTGAAAAAATCCTGAAGCAGTTTTTATGGAAGAGAAACTTGTGTCTAGGTTCACCCTTTCCACATAACACTACAACCTTTCATATTTTTCATATAAACAAAAACTGGCCACCATAAATCAATTTGAGAATCTGTTGTAAACTCATGAAAATGTGTGCCTGCAGACCTGCCAATATTTTGTAAAATCAATGAATACTAGAGGGTAATCGTTGCCCATTGCCATGCATTTCATTATAAAATTTGGCAAGCTTTTTTATGAAACTTCGCACACTTACTAAGTTCGGCATGATAAATCGAGAGGTAAGCCTAATTTTTTTTGCTTGAATTTATAACAATCGAAAAAGCGTGACATCGTAGAAAAGATCTCCACTCAGTGGTGTGCATTTTATCAGTGCTTTAGATAATGTTGTAATTGTATTCGATATCAAAAGGTCAAAATAAACAATTATTTCCTTCCCTTTTTCAGACCTGACCGAAAAATTAATACCTTACCTTGGACCTAGACTGAACTGCATCTCTTTCAGTTAACATTTGAAACGGGCTTTAAATACCTCATGCTTATAACTATATCTCACTTCCTGATCAAGAGATGAATGACAGGGATGGAGTGGTTTTCAGCTGAGAGTTGTAAAACCAAAACCAAACCAATGACTTAGCAGGTAGACTACTCAGCAAACATCAAACCGTAGTAAAACCGAAACCAAAATATATCAGTGCCTTATTACTTTCCATACCACTCTAAAATACCTAATTCTATAACCAGTGTGTGCGAACTATTCCCTATTGCACACCAAAATGGTCGAAATGCACAACCTATTTCAGACTCAAAACCCATGCCATTTAGTGCTGCACATACTTTTAGGTTTACATGAAGGAGTACCCACCCACCCAAGGGAAGAAGGGAAACTAAAAACAACCATCTTACATACTGTTGGAATGAAAATATGCCACAGACATTTTTCAAACAATGCGGTTCCGGATTTGAACAAAAATATTCGCAGATTGACAGATTTGGCGAAAAAATAGCATGGATCGGCAGATCTGTATACCCCTATTCACCCCTCTCCATGAAGGGGCTTCAATTTTTCTGCAAAATTGTCTAGAAACCTGTAAGTGGCAGAAATGGAAATTTACACACCTGGCAGGCTTCCAAGCTTTCACTAGGTTGAGGGGGGTTGTTCAATCTGTAGAACTTCTGAACTGGATCACTGAATGACATAAATAACACAGATAACATTTAACAGTCATATTTTAGGTCATCATAAAAGTGTGTTCATGTCAAATTATGGGTGACAAGGGTTTCATTAACGTTTTCAACAGGAGGGCAATTGGGCAAGAGTATTAGTACTGAACTTCTTTGTAAGAAAAACTCTCTGTTAGATGAACAAACCAGCTGGACAATATAATTATTGTCTTCACAGCTGGTCTATTTGCCCGGTACCCAGCCCTTAATGAAACCCCTATGACATGAATTTACTGAGGGAACAAAGAAGTTAATCTTAAAGAGCACTAAGAGATCAACATACCTGAGGACAAGGCTACGATGGCAAAACAAATTGTTTGTAAATACTTCAAGACCTCTCTGACGTTTATCGATGAAGTCTACAGTATGTAACAAAAAGTTTTATGACATCAAAATGTGAAAATATTTTAAAATAATACATATCTGCCCGCACAGTTACAAGACATGGCCACTTAAGGGGAGTTCAGTGGACATCCACTGCATTTCACAAATAATATTAAATTTAACAACTACAAGAATCATTTTTTTTTTTTATTAAAGGAAGAGGTCACTCCAAAAAGCTTACTTTTTAGTAGTCTCCACCCATAGTAAGTAAACATTGGGTTTTTTTCACTCACCTAAGTTTCACTCCCCTGAAGTGCCTGCTATCTTGAAGAAACTTGTCTTGAATTCAACTTTGGAGGCTAGGCCCCCATTTTGAAACTGTACTTGGCAGCCAGGCTGTGTTTATGTGACATTATTCAATCCAACTCAAAATTGGTAGGAAGAAGAAAAAACCTGCCGCTGACTTGGCATCTTTCACATGGTCAGCAAAATGTATTTTTTCCAACTGATTATCTGCTTCACAATCTTCACTGCTATCATTTTTGGAGTTTGGAGCATGTTTGGCTCAAAATAATATGGCTCAAGAGTAGCCATAACCTAGAGTGGTAGTTAAAAGGCTTGTTGGAAGCCATGAACCAAATCCCTGGGACAGAATGACATCACGAAAATGCAGCCTGGCTGCTGAATACTGTTCAAAATGGCAGCAACGATGTCGAACTTTGGGCTTCCTTGGAGATGAATTTCAAAATGAAAACCTGCACTTTAGAGGCTGAAACTTAGTGTTTACAAAAAATTATGTTTTTTGGAGTGACCTTCTCCTTTAAGGATTTCTTGCAGAACACCTGACCACTTCATGCACAATGTATAAATAATTTTCATGGGTAACAGAATCATCTGTGCCAACTCTCCCAGATTATCCAGGAGTGTCCTGGTTACAGACTGAATCTCCCAGTCTCTCGTATGGGTCACAAAATCTCCCTGATATTACGGAAAGTGCTTGAAGTAAAACTTTTCACCTATATTTCATATGGCTGACAGTGGCCGACAGGTTTTTGAGCTCTTGATTTTGAGACCCCCCCCCAGATATCTTGAATAGAAGGACATTTCCCTTCAGGATTTGTTAAGGTGGCTCCCTATAGTTTCACATGTGAAAGCTCAACTCATCTGCGCACACTCAGAGGAAAGTGTCAGTGTTTTTTGATGTTTTATGACATCAACATGAGCACAAAAAGCAAAACTGACAGAGAATTTTCTCATGTTTCCTTCTGTGAAATTCCGAACAATTCAGCAGGATGGTAATAAAATATTTTACTTTAACTGGAGCTCATTTTTTAGGGAAATCTATCTGACCGATAAAAGACGTAATTTTGCACACATCTAAAAAGCTGCCCATACGAACCCTACTTTTTGCGAGTTTAAAATTCGTATCCTAGCTGAATCAATGTATTGTGAAAATTTTGAAAGATTCACAGAAGGAAATTCAAGAAAATCACAAATAAAGCCATAAAAGGGGTAAATACGCATTTGGTTAATAGGCATTTATAATGCAGGACTAAAAGCCAAAATTTTAACAGAGATGATAATAAAACAGTTTTTCATCATAATTTGCTTATTACACTTAATAATTTTAAGAGGACTGGGTGTAAAAGCAAATGTAAAAACAGCATTCAAAATTTAACACCAGCATATGCAACATGAAAATGATTAACCTATGGAGCCACCTGAAATACCTTCATTATTTTAAAGGATTGCAAAACATGCAGTGAATAATTCCTTGAAAAACTAGGCCAATATGAAGATAATATTTTCCTACTTTATCACAAAATTGTACCAGTCTGGTGCCCATTTTATCAAATTGTCGTATCATTATTCTGAACAGCCAATTAATATCTTATCATTTTTTATTTGAAAAATAAGAATGAGAAAGTCAAGAGGTAGTTAAAAGATCTAAAAATAAAACAGACATCACGTTACCGAGTATTAATTTTAAAATATTCCACGCTCAATTAAAACCACAATCAGATATACTTCAAGCTCAGCCATTTCACTTTTTCACAAAATTGTTTCAGAGTGGTTGTGGGAAATGCACAATTTAGTGGAATGGCCTTTTCATTAAACATAGACGATAATTTTGATAAATAAGCATGAGGAAGTCACGAGGTACACAAACTGGGCCAGACATGTCTAAAATGTCTTTAACTTTGCCCTCTAAACTGAGATTGGATAGATTTAAAAGTATCTCAGACCTGCCCGGCTATGCATAAAGTTACGAGAGGAAGGGCAAAAAAAAATGACATATCTTCCAACCCTTCACTTTATAGTAATTCCTACCGAGCGTATGTTTCCTGTTTACAAGACATTCAGATGCATGATTTTAAGTAGTAACTTCGACTTAAGCTTTTAAATTACCTTTGTTAAAGTTATCTTTGAAAAAGCGTTTTCCTGGCAAATGCAATCGAAATTGGGGATAAAGCTTACGTAACTGCAAATAAACAAAATATCGGTAAGACGATGAACTTGTTACTAAATAAATTTCACCATAATTGCGTCACCATGCAAGAAACTATACAAGACTCCCTCTAGCTACACACGATTTTGAACTGAGCTGTATATAATCAACTGCATGTAAAATTAATATTATTTCACACATTTATTAAGCAAAAATCACTTATCACCTTCTTATTCAGAAGCACAAAATCCCCATATCGTCTGTAAATTATCCAAGTTTTCGAACCATTGTTTACCTCGATCTTGTACAGCTGAGTAGAGAGACGAGAAGCTTTAGTACCGCAAACTTACGTTCAAGGGGCATACTAACCGTATGCAATATCGACGAAATATCTAACGATTTTACTTACGGTAAACCTTTCCCTCTGCTCCAGAGTTTCCTTCCCGAGTATACATGAGTCAACTCGAGGCATAGAAATCGTAGAAGCGGTGGAATTTGTAAAATCTTCGGAGCTATTTGCCAGCCGATAGCCATTCCCTAGCTGTACACTGTTCTGGCTTGCCGCTTGTACTTCCGCAATATCTCGCTCCTTTTTAAAAGTTACCGGACTAACAAGCCTTCTGGAGCGACCCTGAGAAGTTGCGGGTGCTAGGCCAGCCGACATTTTGTTGGAAACGTACTATTATTACTTTTACCGGGGCATTTTCGTGAAAGTGTTACTACTGTAAATCAAAATTCCCCGACCTCCAGACCGGATTTGCAAGGGGTCTGAGTTCTACTTGCAAACAATGGGGAGCCCCCTAAGGGGAACCGAAAGGGGTTAAGGTGATTCCTTGGTATTGCAGTGCACATCCCCTAATGCGCACGATTTCGCGTCATTGGCGCGCGCACATCAGCGTGTGCATGCGCGTACAAAACGTAAGAAATTTCCCTCAAACTTAGCTCGATAGCGGAATAAACGTAACACTCCTTTTCTTCTAAACGAACACGTTGACCCCCACTTTTTATTTCCTAATTTCAATGAGAACAATATCCTCAATAACTGAAAAAAAGAAATTGGCAGAAATCTAGGGCTATTTTTTTGGCAAATGAAATAAGTACTACAGTGGGAGACATAACGGGCCCAACAGCGCATGCCCAATTTATGTTTCCTTTTAAGGATAAAAAAATGCAGGGTATTTGAAGACATTTTTTCTGGGATGTAGATGAATAAACAATCAAAGAAAGTCAAACTCTGTCTGATATAACATGCTGCATTGAAAAATAATCGAGCTTATTTGTTGCGCATGCAGATTACAGCATTGTGGCATGAGAACGAGCACAGTGCCCCCTCTTTTTACTACGTTTTTAATATCTCCCTGTCCTGTAACAACAGCATACCAAGTTTCATCGCAAATTTATGGCAGGTTCTTTTACTAGGGAATCAACTTAAGGGCTGCAACCGTGGGCGGGGAAATGCTAAGGCATACCTGCCAACCCCCAGAGTACAAAAACCTGGAGATGGCTAGAATTCTTTTTGCAGCGATCTGAAATCCATGCTGGCCATCTTCGCTTTGACCAGGGCGACGTAAACAGCGTGCGAAAACCACGCCAATTTTGTACCAGCTATTGTGCAATTTGATTGGTTGATTTCTGACCAATTAGGATACTCGTTAAATATATATCTTACGTTTTTCGATCGAGAGCAGTTTAAATGGGAGCAACAAATTCCCTTCTTGTTTTATTTTCCTTTTTGACAACTCGAAAATAACGAAATTAATGAAAAAAAAAAATTAGAAAGAGGCACGGTAGGTAGTTCCCGGGAGATTTGGCGCTCTAACCGGGAGACCGGGAAATTTGATGAAAAACTTGGAGACTCCCGGGAAAACCGGGAGAGTTGGCAGGTCTGTTAAGGGGCGTGTTGCACTACAAATTCTGGCCTTAACCAGAAGAACTGAACCAAAACCCTTGCCCAACCTTTTCTTTTTCAGTATCAAATTCAACATGCACCTGTCACAGACTTTAGGCAGACTACCCGTCCTGCTGAGTCCCTTCTCTTTCTGATGGGTGAGAGTAAAAAGAGGGAGGAATCTGTCTTGCAGGCTATAGCCAGACTGGAGTCATTCTTTAAATGTGAGGAGCAATAATTATTAATTTTGTTTGTTCAGTGACCTCTCATGGATTCTCTTGTGTGGTATTTTTCTATAATTTTTACAAAAACCTGACATGTATTTTTTTTAGGTTTCCTTTGGTTTGAAAGTAATTTTAAATGATACAAAAATTATATAATGCAAATTATCAGTGGCGCCTCCATGGCCTGGATATGGATCCAATGTTTCCAGGTCAAACTGGAAATATTTGAAAAGTGTTGGTTTTTGGGCAAGGATGGGAAAACAGAAGAAACCAGAGAAAAACCCCTGTGCAAGGATGAGAACCGATAACAAACTTGACCCAGTCATGATGCTGGGTCGGGGATTCAAACTTGGGCCACATTGGTGCGAGGGGAATGCCCTAACCACTGTGCTACTCCTCCTCCCATAACATGAATTATAATCCATCAAATATTTTCACTTGCGTACAATTGGTCTAAATGTGTCACATGACTGATTATGCCCCAGTTCAAACCGGGGAATATCCGAGTGATATTTTCCCCAATTGTCAAAACTGCATGTGCTGCAAAAAATATTTGAAGGATAATAAACACAATAGCCACCATTTGGAATGAAAATATGCTCTGATATTTGTCCTCAAAACTCGCAGTTCCCCTCGAGCTACGCTCTTGGATAACTTGTTTGCATTTCAGAACAGATAATGTCCACAGACACATTAAATGTCCAAGCACATTTTTGCACCAAATGGAGACTACTGTTTATATAACCTCTTTTCAAAAATACTCTAATTTGAGAATATGGACCAGTTTCAAATTAGCATGAAAATATTTATTGATACCCATAAAGAAATTCTTATGTTACAAAAATTAAGTATCATTACAAAGCATCTGTACTTCTAGAACTTATAATTCAATTGTAGTCTATCTTTTCTATTAGACCTAACAGCAAACCTTAACATTATTTTATTTTTTATTATTTTTAAGGTAAGCCCTTTTAAGGATTTGTATTCAATATCTCACTACAGTGGAACCCTGCCTTATGAACACCCTGTTAATACAACCACTTTACTCTGGCCCAAACAAAAATTCCGCTCAGTCATTTTTTTTTTTTTGAGAACCCCTTTTATACCCCCACCCCAGTAATATGGCCTGATTTTTGTGGCCCACTGGTGACCAGATTAACAGGGTTCCACTATATAATGAATTTATACTGCCTTTGTGTTCAGTTCATAACTGATAACTATAGATTTGCAGTAGTTATAAGCTAACAGCTAGCTGGAATATATCCTCATATGGTTACAACTTAAGTAATTAAGTTCCATCCATGGCACATCAAATCAGTTATGTAGAAAATTCAAGTAAAAGAAAACCATGCTAACTATAACATAAAAAGAACAGCAAGCATATAGACAGTTTCAATAATAAACAATAGGTTCAGGGATGGCAAATTGGTTTTTGACACACTTAGGATGTGTACAAAATCATCTTGCTCTCAGTAAAACCTGAGAAAATTATATCAAAACAGTTAAAGTCAGTCAAAGTTGTGAAACACTGTATATTTTCAAATGTTGCCAGTAGATCCTATCCTTTCAAATTAAAGCGAAAACTGAATTAAGTACTGACATATAAGAATTGGTAGAAATATTGCAAATAAACTAATTACAAAAGTACTGCAATAACATTGAGTGAATTGGTAAGTTGTTTAATGAACCAAGGCTGTGATCAACTTTCTATCCATGTTTACCCCCAAACTGACTCAAGTTCTTTTTTTTTCAAAGCAATACTCTGTAACAGAACAGAACACAACATTAGGCCAACTGACAGGGATTGAGAACCAGTGATTGATTGATTTTCTATCTGGAAGTCTAATAATTATTATTAATTGATCAGAACAATTTTGTACAGCTCTTTGTGAACCCTTTGTACAAAATATAACAAAATACTGCAAACAATAGGTCAATTAATAAAAGCAGAAACTAAAGAACTGAAATATACACACTGATTTATTGCCACGTAATCTCTATCATGTGAGACAAGTTACATGTACCTGATATAATCAAATGGACAGTGAAATATAATGCCAAAAAATTACATAGAACAACCAAAACAAACTCATTGAAACATTAATTTTTCATTTCCCATAGTACCAGAAAATGAAATGTTCAGAATGCTTTAGCTCTCTATAGTTTTCTTTTATATCAAAATGAAATAGACTTATAACTTCATTTTAAATTTTGAAAATGATTTTGAATCTGAACAATTCATATTTCATTTTAAGGAAAATGGTAAATGAAGGTCTAGGCATCAGCTACTATTTCTACTTCAAAAAATTCAACTAGACAGTGGAGTCTTTAATTCATTTTCAGTTTCAGTTTCCAATTTCTGAAAAAAAAAAGAGATTGTTACTTAGTAGCAGATTATATCACTCACACTCACTCAATCCTCTTTGTTCCTGGTGGAACACAGGTCATAGCTTTGAGCTCAATATCTGTCTGCTCTCATTGGTGGACAAAGCGATATACTGTTATTGTTGAGGTTACACCACAATTTCAAATTGCCATTTGATTTTGGTTATTTCCGGCCCTATCCCCCACTCGGGGGCAAGGAACTAAGCATTTGATTAAGAGGCATTAAGGAATCCCTTAGATGGCATACACATTCTTCAAGCAGCCTCAAGTGTCACTTTGTTGTTAGACATGTAAATCTCCTTACAAACTTATTTTTATAACCACATTCTACTACACATTAGTTTATGTGCTTGGAGTAGGAGAGGCATCAACACTTATTCCACTGTCTCTTTTACTGGAATGTGCTCTTGGTTCCTTGCTGGGCATATTTGTCAACACTGTTTGATGATCACTACCTTCCTCACTTGTGTCCTTCTTGCTCTTATCCAACAAAATGTTTGAAGAGTCAGAGTTTTCAGACTTTTCGCCAATTGTCTCAGATTCTTCTCGTTCTTTCTTGGCATCCATTTCTGAAGTTTCTGGGGACATTGAATTGTCATGAGCTGAATTTGAAACTGGTGTTGACGTGCGAGGGTTTCTCTTTTCTGTTGAAAGCCGTCTGACCAGCCTCGAGGATCTCATTCTGTCAGCGCCGCTGGAGTGTTCAGTAATCTCAACACTTCCAACCCATGGGGTTTTGTCTTCTTCAGTTTCACCTCCAGTGGTACCGGCAATCTTTCCTTTGCTGTTAGTTCGATGTCTTGTTGACAAGTTGAAAACCTTTCCTCTAAGACCAGCAACATTTGCCATTTTTTCACTTTCTTCCATCAACTCATCGATCTGAGCAGAATTATTGCCATTTTCAGCTGATCCTTTCTTTCTTAAAGTTCGCTCTGATCTCAAAGCACTCACTAGTGCTTCCTGCTGTACTCGGGCCTGTACTAGTTGAGATTTTGTCATTTTGAGTTCTGCTGTAAGTTCATCTACCTTCTGTTTCAAGTCCTCAGTTTGACTTTCTAAGTGTTGACAGTAAGCCTAACAAAAAATCACTTGAAGTTAGTGGTAAAGCTTAGACTAAAACAACATTGAGATGATTTCCGTGGAACATTCGAGCAATAATGGCAAAAATTAAGTTACCATAAAACCCTCATGGCATGGCAATATTTTGAATACAGATGAGAAGAACTTATCGAGACTTAAGCTCTCAAGCTGACCCCAGGAGAGAAAATTGAACTTGAAGTTATCCATATTTCAATTACAACAGATGTTTCGCATTAGTTAAAAACACAACACACGCTTTAAGCATTCTTATGACATTTGACATTAACTTTCTTGAGAATGCTTGAGAATTTAATTGCGGGGTCACTTAGAGAAATGAACTAAAGTGAGTTGTTTTAAATAGTATTCCAAAAGTTACCATGCTATGAGTAGATTTTTAGTAAATAAGTTTTGCACTTATTGCTCAAACTTTGAGCATCCGTCTTCAGTCTTCAGTCTTAACATCAATATAATTTCCCCTGTTAACAACAATCTATCATTTCTTTCCTTCTACACCAGCTGCTTGGTGATATCTGCAGATGCTGTACTTCAGAGGATTACAAAATGTACATCACTAATTTATCATTTGATATCAAGAGTCATGCAATTAAAGAAGGTAAAAGGTAAGGTGAAATCCTGTTTGCAGCCAGCGTCCCATCAGGCGGTTGCTTTTCTTCTGTTTTTGTTAATTCTGTTGTATGCCAATGCTTACCCGGCTTTCTTCTAGGCTATCATAAGGACCAGGAGGATCATTCAGGCAGAAGAATTCTTGCACCTCAACACTGCAGAGAACATAACATATGTTACTTGGTTTCAACTTGCAGTTATTGCTTAGCTCACATCTCCTGATGACAAAACAACTCAAGGCACCCAGGCTTAAGCCAGAGAAAATTACAACAAATTCTGGCATTACCCCACCCTTGTATAATGAGTAGTTTTGTACAGTCTCAGATTTTCCTTGCCAAAGTATTCATGATTGTGGCTTCATGCTTGGCAAAATGTAACAGAAGAAGCAAAAAGACTATTGAGCAACCTCGTTATTACAGCCACTTTATTCTGGCCTGAACAAAAGCCAAGTTAGTCATTTTCTTATTTAAAGAACCCCTTTAATATGGCCACCCCGTTAATACGACCAGATTTTTGTGGCCCGTTTTGTTACTAATAACAATATAAGAAATGGCAAGAACTGAAATGAAGCACAGAGAGAAACAAGAGCCATCAAACAACATTTACTTCTGCTTCATCAGATGTTAAAATTAATAAATGAATTTTACTTTGTCCTTCTAAGAGTCCAAGTTGTCTTGAATACCTACAATAACCATATTTAAAATCATTTGAATTCATTTAATACAAATAATATTTAATACTAATAGTAATTATTATACCTCTTTGAAATTCCAGAATGATTCAATATGTTGTTAATAAAAAATTGTAATCCTCTTGCTCTTTCTTCTATGAATGCTGCAAAATGACAATAACATGTGGTGGTTGAATTGTCTTAAGAGAGAGTTCTTGAGATTGTAGGCATAGGCATATGGGCTCCTTCGGACTCGGGGGGGGGGTTGGGGGGGGGCTGTGACCTTATTGCCCGAAAAAAAACTACACAGTGTCCAAAAGCATGTGTTGTACAAATGCACTCAAATCGCAGTTCATAAGTCTCACGTCTAATGAAACTATATTATCATTCCAAAATAACTGAAGGGAAACGAAAATTGGTTTGCAAAATCTGACATTTCGAGAAATCGGGAGTAAAATTACATTGTTCAACTAAGGAGAGGGAAACAACTTTTGGTTCGAGTTATCGGAAGGTTCGAAAAATCGAGGGTTCAAGAAATCGGGATTCCACTGTAGTTATTTTAAACCTCGCATACTCTATGACCTCGATCGACAGCCTAGTAAAATCAGAAACTTATAAAAGACACAGTAAATTGTTCCTCATACAAGAAGAAAATTTAAAACGGCTCTTTGTGGAGCCTTTCAAAACGGCTCATTTCAGAGCAACGACAAAAACAAACATCTACGTCTTGGTTTGCCTTGATTCTGTCATCGTTTTGTTGATGGAAGTAATACAGCTGTATCCATCTCATGGATTTCCATAATACACATTTAAATGATATATGGCCTTTTCAAAACAGATTTCCCGGATCATTAGATCATTTGACCTTACCTCCATATTGACAAGGCAAATGTCAGAGAAAGTAGCCTACAAGCCTGGCTTTGACTACCTTTTAGAGTATTTTCTCCCGAGTACTTTTGCCCGAATCCTCAGTATTTTTCCCAAAAAATTGCACCAATTTTTGTAACTGGGGGGGCTGCAGTCCTCCCNCCCCCCCCACCCCGGCCCATACGCCTATGATTGTAGGATTGAACACTAGCTGGCATAAAAGATGGGAAAACAAATTATTTCGCTGGGCTTCATACATTTAATGACTGGTTCTGAAGGAAACAGCGAGTTTCGTTTCTCCAAGACTCTTGTCATTGGGGCGTTTTGTTTGTTGTTTTACTATAATTTCAAAACACACGTCATCCAAGGTTCATACTCTTTTGAGCTTTTAAATTCCACGACTTTCCATGACCTTTTCCGTGACCTTTCTGAGTTTCCCATGACCTATGTTACGTATTTGCTCTCAAAGTATTGTCAAAACAATCTATTAATTAACGTATGTTCCCACGTTATGAAGCATAAAATGCATGCTAGTGTTTATTTTGTCACTGGAATTAAATCCGGCTTTCTTATTTGTCTGTTAGTTTTCAACTTTTGATCTTTTTGGCTTTTTATTCTCAGAAAGTACATTACCTTTCCATGACTTTCCATGACCCACAATTCAATTTCATGACATTATGAAATTATATAATTCCATGAGTTTCCAGGTTTTCCATGACCCATATGAACCCTGTCATTTCTGAAGACAAATCAATGCATTTCGCCAACATGATTTTGTCAGGAGTAATTTATCCTTTTCTTAAATTTGAGAACTGAAGGAGTAGCATCATTTATAAATGTTAGCTAAGGACTTTCATTGGTTCTACAGTAGAACCCCACTAACTCGAACTCTGAAGGGAAACGAAAATCTGTTCGAGTTAGCGGGGTTTCGAGTTATCGGGGTCGATTAAAATATTCAATTTTTTAGGTTAATAATT